TGTGCGGGGAGCGGAGGGGCCCAGGAAGGGGCGGCCCGGGCCGGTCGGAGGCGGCCCACCAGAGCAGGAGTTTGCAGGAGTCGCAAAGAACCCCGAATCCGCTCCGGGGACCCAGCTCCTTGTAGGTCGCCGTGTGCTGTTGGTGGATTGCTGGATGTAGAGCTTCTGTGGAGACGGCACAGCCCCTGGTGCTGAAGTGGCCGTGGGTTCGGATGTCACGAGGCTGCTTCAGCTTTAGGGTCCCTCATTTGGCCCCAAAGGGCCTCTGATGGCTCCAAAATCTTCACGCCAACCCTTCGTAGCTTTCGGGTCCCTTTCTTCGTCCTCCGTTCCCGCCCGGTCTCATCCCGCCCTCATTCCTCTGCCTGGGCCAGTGGGCAGGGGTCCCCTCGTGGGTTTGCACAGCACCCCCTAGAGGTGCAGGCTGTCTGGATTCATAGCTCTGCGCTGCCCCTTTGTCCTAGGATACAGAACCTACAATAGCTTGTCTGACAGGTTCCTCATCTACAATATGGAGAATAACCTCCCAGGGCTTTTATGAGGATATAAAAGAGTTTTATTTATTAAGTAAGTGTTTAGAACAGTACTTGACATGTAGTAAATCTCTATGTACCCCTGTTAGGATTCGCATTATACCACAACACTGTAAAGTTGTATGATTTATTTGGTGATATAAACTTTATGAAGCCACAGGCATTACTCTGGTCCCTGCTGTATCTTTAGTGCCTAGAACAGCAGTTGATGGAGTGGAGGGAAAAAAACAAATGGCAGGCTATAGAAAGAGGGGAAATGAGGCACACATAGGATTTTTAGTCATTGCCAAACTTGCCCCAAATCATAATTAAAATCACTGTCCAACTTTGTGTCATTAATTACTGGTGGTACTTATACTAAAATGGTACAAAGAAAATGATCTTCTCTCCTTTCTTGTTAGCAAATTAGTTATACTTGCAGAAGCCATTGTAAACGGAGTCTTTTGCCATTTATTTCATAACACAAGATAGAATTTACCACTCTTCTTTGACCCCAGTTAAAGAGGCTTTGGCATATGCTTGAAAGAAATAATCTGAAAAGAGAAAAACGTATATTTATGAAGATGTGCCTCTTAGCATTACATGTCGTAATGATAACTGTATATGAGCAAAATATCCTAAAAGACATAGTTAAACAATATAGATGCTACAAATGGGAAGTAGAAGTGACTATGGAAAGTGAGAATGCATACAAATGAAGGACTATACAATTGTTTTTTGTGTGGTTCCTTTAATGTCAAAAATAACTACTTTAATAATTAGCAAAAGCTGAAAGACCTGCCCAAAAGTCTTATTCTTATGAGACTGTTTCTCTGGGCTCTTTGCAGCAAACTAGATAAAACTAATTGGCTTTTTGAACCTGCCCCAGAGTCAGCTTTTCTTAGGTTTTCCTTACTTCTGTACTCTGGGAGTTCCTTTGCAATCCTGTCTCATCGCCTATTATAATATTTAGCCTCATGGGCATAGATTTCGGAATAAATTGGGAATTACTTATGCTTACAAATTAATAAGTCATAGTTCTTTGGTTCACTTAAAGAAGTACTCTTTGAAACTATGGTTTATGTTAAGGTTAAGGTGTGTATTTTCTGTACAGCCTTATGTTTTAATTTTGTTTTGTTCTGAGAAGCATTTGTCATTCATCTTGTTTCCACTTGTTTCTTTAGTTTTATTTAAGGAATGTCCATAAGAAGAGTTCCATTATCTTAAGCCCCACTGTCCTGACTTATTGCCAGTCAAAATGGCTGCACCACTGAGAGTCTTCAAAATTCCTTCCACGAAGTTCAGAGGAGCCTGTCAGGCTTCTGATTATGAAGATGGAAGTGGAAGAGCAGGCCTGTGGTGCTGACTCCCATCTTCACTGGAGCAGCTGCTACAGCCCAGAGACCTGCCGCCAGCATTTCAGGCAGTTTGGTTACTTGGACTCCACCAGGCTCCAGGAGGCTCTTAGGCAGCTCCAGGAACTTTGTCATCGCTGGCTGAGGCCAGAGGCGCACACCAAGGAGCAGATCCTGGAGCTGCTGGTGTTGGAGCAGTTCCTGGCCATCCTGCCGGAGGAGCTGCAGGCCTGGGTGCAGAGGCACCGGCCAGAGAATGGAGAGGAAGCTGTGACTTTCCTGGAGCAGCTGGAGAGAGAGAGGTTGACTGGCCAGACAAAAAGGTAAGAAGGAGACCTGTGGGAAGTAACCACAGCCCATCATGGAGAGAGAAGCTATCAATTGGTTTTCTTGCTCAGCACAACTGGAGGCACAGGATGGTGAGTGTACTTTGGGGTGTCTCAGGAAATAATTCATGGCTCTGCTTTTCTTCTGAGCCCAGGATATTTTCTACATGCTTTCTTCACTGTTTCTTTATTCTCAAGTCCCTACTTGATGCCTTTCTTAGTCTCATTTATACCTGACTGTTCCCAGGTCTTCTTTGGAAGAGAAAAGGACAGGATGGCAGAGAAGCTGGCACCTTGGGAAATCACTCAGGAATTACCGAGTAGTCAGCTCAAGCCCTTGAAAAAGCAGCTCCAGTGGGCATCATGGAAATTGCACTCGACACAGCATGGTGAGGTGCAGGACTTAGCTTCTGTTGGGAAGTGAAGAGGGCCCAGCACACCCCACACACGTGAGCTGCGTTAAGAGGTTTCAGATCTCTCTTCTTTCTCATCTTCATGTTTTATCCAAGTAAAAACACAGCTCCTTTGACTGAAGCAGGAGCCCAGCCCACAAGACCTCCAGTTCAGACTCCTTCCCACCTTTTTCCTCTAAGGTCCTTCTGTGTGATTCCAAGGTACACAGTGATGAGACCACTATCTGCCTATCATTTCCCATGAAACTGCTTGTCCAGTTATCTTGCATCCAGAAGCGAAATTGCCCATACTGCTAAGATGACTTTGCTTTGTTGGGGTGCTTTGAATATATTTCTCCCTCATGTCTTAAACTGGCTTCTGTTTCTGTACATCACATTTTTACCAAAGTGCTCCAAAATGGTTGTCATAATAATCTGTCCTTACATTGCCAGTACAAAAAAAAAAAAAAAAAAAAAATGTGGGTTAAAAACCAAAGCAGATGGATAGCGTGGGGGACAGGGCTTTATTCTGAAGTGACATTTGAGCAGAGACCCTCCTTCTAGATGATCGTCCTGGAGAAAATGGGAGCCAGAGATGAAGAAGGAAACCACATTTGGAAACCACCACCACCATGCACATACAGCTCTGTATTCCAGGGCTGGCATATAAGCTAAGCAAGGTTAGAAAAATACAGAAATCTAAAGAGACGTTTAGAAAAGATTCTGACTCTTACATGGCAAGTGCTTGCTCCTGCAGGTTTGTACTAAGCACTCAACACCTCCAGTCTAGAAATCATTTTGCTTAGCCATAAGAAGTAGGAGGGATGGAGAGGAAGGGGGAAAAAGGAATTGAGACATATTATGTACTTGTACCAGTTCCCCACAACCATTGTAATCATTATGTACTGCAAACATGTGCTAATGAAAATTTAAAACTTTTAAAAAAGAAGTGGGAGGGAAACCATCCCAACCTCACCCTTTTAGAAGTCATGCACCTCAAAACCAGTGCATAGGCTTCTGGTGTCAGCAAAGCCACGTTCTACCTGTAAAGGTTCCCCCAGAGACATTTCCTACATTTAAAAAATGCATGGAAATTTGGATTTTTCAAAACAAAGTAGAACTAGAGTCACACAATAAAGTAAGAACCATTTCGTAAGGCTACAACATGATTTTTGTGGTTCTGTGTCATGTCTTACCAAGGCTTCTACAGATGATCCTGTTGGTCTCAGCACTACGAATTGCCAACAATCATCAGGATTTTAATAGTAGCAACTGCATATTGATGTCACTTTGGACGCTGAGCTATCAAAACCAAAATCTTTTTGTTTTTTTTTCTTTTTTGGTACTGGGGATCGGACTCCGGCCCTTGCGCTTGCAAGGCAGTTGGCGGCACCACTGAGCTAAATCCCCAGCCCAACCAAAATCTTTATCATTTGTAAAATAACTTCTGTTTAAATAAGCAATAGTTAATAAATGAATATGCTACAGTTAGCAACAAATTCAGGAATTTTAATTCATTTTTTACTAACTATATTTAGACCCACTTTAAATTAAATTCTAAGAATTAAAAAAAAAAACAACTCATAGTGCTCTTAGCCATTGTCACACTCAGTCACTGCCATCTCTTTTCTCCCAACCTTCTTTTCTCATGTTATCATTTGATTGGGCCTTAAGAGGACCCATAGAATCACTTACCATCAGTCTCTCTCTTATTTCCTCAGTCCCATTTATGTAATCCCTGCAGATAAAAGAACCCCTCTCCAACTGTCACGGTCAGCTTTAGCCATGTCATGTCCTCATTGTGTCCAAAATGTTGCTTTTTGCAAGGTGATTTTAAACTGCTGCCTTTTAGCAGCTTCTATTAATATCTACCTGAGGGTCACTGAAGCAATCTCTTTGGTACGTACTTAAAATTAAGTTGCCATATTCACATGTGAGTTAACAGTTCTCCTAGAGCTTTAGGCAGCCTATGTCACAAGCCCTCTACACTCAGCTAAATTTAAGTGACCACAGCCCATAAGCAGCCATGCTCATTTTTTCATAGACTTTAAATGTAGTATAAAACAACGCAGGAAACAGCCTTTTGGCCAGTGTTATAATTTCCATACAGGACTAGAGGTTTCTGGTGAAACCAGGTTTCTTGACATTTTGAGGTGCCACTTTTCTAGTTTATAATCCTCCCTTTTTTGCTTAAATTGTGTTTTCTAACTGCATTTTCCATATTTATTTTTTTGACCTATTGACTTTCTTCAGCTCATTTATTTGCTTATTGATTCATTTATCATTAAACTTTGTTTTATGAACACTCTTGTGTTAAATCTTGTTCATTACTCATATTTGATTCTTCTTCTTCTAGTTGCTATGTGTTCCCTGAATAGTTGCTCATCTTTTAGCCCATTTCTTGTCCTCCAGACTTTCCCTGGTCTCTGACATGCCTTTCCCCCTTACTCACCATTCAGTTTTCTCAGTGGAGCTTTGCGTCTTTATAGTTGGCTGCCCCTTCACTATGTAAACACTTGTACCATGCTTCATGGTCTTCTTAACATTTTGTCTTACATTTTGTGTTACCTTCTTCATCCTCCACATTGTGATGTTGTTTTATACACATGCTAGTTAATAATCCATCTACATATTTGAGTCATTCTAGTTCCCTTTCTTTTTGAACAGAGAACTAGTGACATTGCTTTTCTGTTTATTATTTCAGAGGAAGACACCAAAACTGAAAATGTTAAATCTGCTTTGAGGCCAAAGACCTCCTGAGGCACAGAACTGCACTGTGATGTTTCTAACACCCTTCATATGAGTGCCTCCCTGAAATTCACATCTCAGGGAACCTGGGAACAAGATGGCAGGTTTTCAAGAAGACAGAGAAACCCCTCTGGGAAAAAGCAACAGAAGTGTGACCAATGTGGCAAGATCTTTAGTCAGAGATCAGCCCTTATTTTACATCTCTCCTCACAGTGGAGAGAAGCCTTATACTTGTGATGTGTGCAAATGCTTTCAGCTGAAGTGCAATTCTGATTCAGCATCAAAGAACCCACACTGGAGAAAAACCCTTTAAGTGTCATGAATGTGGCAAAGCCTTTAGTCAAAGTTCAAATCTTTTCAGACATAGGAAAAGACACATTAGAGGAAAAAGTCCCATCAGTGTCATGAGGGACCCAAAGTATTTACTTTGAGGTTTTGCAGAAGAGGGGAAGACACAAGGCACAAACACTCCTGTAGTATAAGTCAGTGGTTTTAGTAGACACCAGTTTCCTTTCAAGGGTCATAAAAGCCACCGGAGAGAAGCAAGAGTATCTCATGTCAACACTGTTTGCTTTTCTGCTGATTGTTAATTCAGATGTTTCAGATACCAAAGCTTAATTCATATTTCCATCCCTAAGCAGCCTTTGAAAAGACATTCTCAGACGTTTTTCTGCTATTCCCACTATTAACTAAAATAATTAACTAGTATACTTGTGACTTTTTAAAACAAGTATATATCTTCCCAATTGAGAAAATTGTGTATGTTACTCAATATAATAGATATTTTTCTCTGTATCATAATTGGAACACTAGACTTGTAAGGACTAAAGATTAAACCATTCTTTAAAAATTTTCTTATTTTGGTTAACAGATTCACAGACCGGGTGTGGTGGCGCACGCCTGTAATCCCAGCACTCTGGAGGCTGAGGCAGGAGGATCTCTGTGAGTTCGAGACCAGCCTGGGCTACATAATGAGTTCCAGGTCAGTCTCAAAGCAAAACAAAAAACAGATTCATAATATAATAATAGTATTGAGGGGGCCTAAAAGAATTTGTTTCTCACAAACTAAGCTGAAATGTCTAAGGTCATTGTTAGGTAGGTAAATAAAATTACTTAATGTCTTAGGAAAATCTGCACACTGTTGATCCTAAGTAATTTCCTATGCTGGAAGAAATAGTCTTTTTTATAATGTAATTAATAACTGAATAGGCATATTAAAATGGTTTTATGTCTATAAGGACATAAATTTATAGAATGTTTCTATAATAAGCAGGGGTGCTTGTGTAAGGGTAATGATCAATGTACTATGAAGAAAAGAAGGTGAGGCACAAGACCATCCAAGACTACCAGACTAATGTAGCACAAACGTTGCCAAATGCGGTAAAGTGCACCACAGCTTACCTGGGAGGCAAGTCCCCAATAGCTGGAGACTATGCTTCATTTTCTTTGTGTCTACTTTTCTGGCATAAGTCAGCTGTAAATATGTTTCAGGCACCCCAAGACGGCCTTTTCAGGGTTAGCAAAACAAGTCATGAAACCAGACTTTGGAGTTTGATGCTTTTGTGCAGATGAAGGAATCACTAAAGTTTAAAGTCCACCATAGTCTCTTATGTACCGCATACAGGATTAAGTAGCTAGCTGTATCCATATTTAATTCAAATTCCTCACTTAAAAATGACAGTTTTGTATATTGTTAAAATTAGTCTGACAGTAGACAACAAAATGTTCTCTTTTCTAAGGATTCTTGATAAAAGTGTTAACATGTGTCACAGTTTTAGTATACTTGCTGCCAAAATGAGCACAACAGTGTGTCACAAGTATACACACACTGTTTTGTTTTTCATGGAGGTACAGTTAGCCATGATGGAAGCTGACCTCAGAAGCAAAAGTCCTCGAAAATAAAAGAGGCTTGTCGGCTTGTCTGGTGAGTTCCTGATAAAGTAATATTTCATTCTCAGAAAATCCAGCCATATCTAATGCTGAAATTAACTCCAGAAATAAATGTGGAATTGTTGTGCTCTGCCTAGTATACTGCTAAATGTAAGAGTAATAATGGGAGACCAGTAAATGCAAATTTTCTTATACATTATTTCTAATTATGCTTTGGAGTTCTACTGAATTGTATTGGATTTTGTGTATTATCAGTTATTTTAAATGTAGGCATCATTTAGGGCTCATTCTCTTTGTAATTTAAGAGAAGACCACATCATCTAGTAAAGCAACAAATGCCTCAGAGATAAATATACTGTGAATTACTGTTTACATGTGGGAAGAGTTTCTTAGGCTCTATGTGAATAACAAGATTCCAAACCAAGTCTTCTAATTATTTGTCTTCATTTGTTGAAGCCATAGATTTTATAGGTTTATGTACTCTTTATTGTGAATAATCTGAACATCAATACTGAAGAGTAGTGTGAATTGTATCATCTTAGTATATGATGAGTCGTAAAGGATATTACTGGATACTCTGAGATATTTTGCACTTACATGGGTCGCCTAATGAGTGGAGGCCACTCATTTCTCTAAAATGAGAATTGCTATGATTTGAGCAAGCTTGATAAAAATTAGCACAATAATAGCACTCCCATTAGATTAATTAATTTCCAGGAATAGTAAATACTCTAAAATGAAAAGATGCTGTTTTATAAATGCCACTTCATCTGAGCCTTCAATATTACTAAAGTTCCTGTCTTCTCTCTGCCTCTCCCCCGTTGTCTTCAAAGACCAAGTCAGATGTTCGTCACTGTCCTCAACCTTCCTGTACTAGTTTTGAATGCTTCTAGATGCAAAATCCATCTTTGGTGGTTTAAGCAGGAGTTTATAACCTGAAAACCAGAGAGTGGATTGTCGTTGGCTCTCAATTAGCAGCTAGATAGTGACTGGTCTGGCTCATGTCTCCGCCCTTCTTTTCCCTCATGCTTATTTTCTCGGGATTTTGAGAGAACTGTCCCAGCTCCAGGAGCTGTATCTGGAGTCAAATCAGGAGGAAAGGAAAAGGTGCTCGCCATGAGGAAAAAAAAAGCTTTTCATGAAATCCCAGCAAATTCTGTTTGTATTCCTTGTCGCAAGTTTTTGGGGGCCATGGAGGGAAAGCAGCAGAGTCGAGGGGCATTGAAACTGATGTTGCTGGGTCAGACAATGCTCTTGGCCATCTGACTCCATCGACAGCTTCATTTTATGGAAAGATGGCTATGTGTTTTCCTCCTGCTTTACAGAGAAGTTGAGAATTCTCACAACTTCCTACCACCAAAATTGCCAACTTCTTTATACCTCATCCATCATTTCCTATCCCCCTCCTCTCAGAATGCTAGATGAGTCTCTTCTTTCCGACCATTGTTTCCCACCTCTGAAGGGCTTTGGCTACTAACATACTCTGTTCTACTTCATCCTCTGCCTTCCTTCAGGATCTATCTGCTTAACACTTGAATGTGCTATTGTGACCCACTCTCCAACCTTAAGCTTTTCTAGCATATTTTGCAAAATCAAGACTGACAGAACTGAGTGAAGGGAAGAATAATGGGCCTAACTTTGTCCTTTTTGTATGCATTTGTTTCCTTCTACCATAACAATCTTTCTAAAACACATAATGCATCATGGCATTTCTTGCTTAGGATGTAGACTTCCCATTGCTTTTAGGATAAAGTCTGAACTTCTAAACAGTTTTTGAGGCTCTTCATAATCGGAACAGAAACTTACCATTTAAGCTTTTTTTTTCTTTTCTTTCTTTTCTTTCTTTTTTTTCCCCCTGGGGATCAAATGTGGGACCTTGTGCTTGCGAGGCAGGCAGTGGAATCACTGAGCTAAATCCCTGGTTTAAGCTTTATTTCTTATCATTGGCCTCCTTTTGGTTGCAGCCATGTTGAATTATCAGAAGCCTTTCTCCTGCCTCTGGGCCTTTGCATGTGTTCCTTTTGAACTCTTGGCAGCTTTTATGTATCATTTCATTCCTTTGTATTCTTCAGGTTTAGTTTACATGCCACCTCTTTCAAGAAGCCTTCCTTAGCAGTCCAAGAATAGGTTTAGATGTTCCATTTAATCTCCTTCGGATTACATAGCAATCTATTCTTGCCCCTGGCTTTAGATTTATCACATGAAAATGTTACTAAAATATTAAACTGCATGCCTGAGCTGGGCTTGAACTTGTGATCCTTTTGCCTGAGCCTTCCAGAGTGCCAGGATTACAGGAGGTCGCTGTGTGTAGCTCCTGTGAAGATGTCCCCTCCAGAACCACCCCTGGGCAGAAATTCTTTGCCAGGCCCTTCCCCAGGCCTGGGCCCCTCGCTTGGAGCCATGCTAGGCTCTAGCCCAGCCCTTCACAGAGCTCTGCCCATAACATGATGGGGTCTAGCCCGGGGCATCCCTTGGCAGGTCACCCCATCTCCATCCAGGGGCCTGGAGGGTACCCTCAGGATATGCACCAGATACACAAGCCCACAGACTCCATGCATGGAAAGTCATGATGTTGGAAGACCTGTGCCACACAGGCATGGGGCCCCCGCCCAGCCTCGTGTACTAGCACTCCCAAGGTTACCCCTCACCCCTGGGCAGCCCCGAGCATGCCTCCAGTCCTGTTACAGCCAGCTGCCAGTCTTCTGGCCCCCAGATGTCATCTGGACCAGGAGGGGCCCCACTGAATGGCACTGACCCCCAGGCCTTGGGGCAGCAGAGCTGGGGCCCCACCCCATTCAACCAGAACCAGCTGCACCAGCTCTGGCCAGAGATCATGGCCTACAAGATGCTGGCCAGGGGACAGCCCCTGCCTGACCACCTGCAGATGGCCATGCAGGAAAAGTGGCTGATGCCCATGCTACCTCCATTCTCTGTGTCTGCCACAGGGCCTGGGCCAGTCCCAGGCCTGGGACCAAGCACTTCTGAATTACAGCAGGCTCCCACGGTATGGGAGGGCTCAACATGCCTCCCCCAGGACCTTCAGGCGTGCCCCCCTGGATGCCGCCTGGAGGGCCTCCCAAGCCCTATCCTGAAGGCCCGGTGGTGAACGCTGCCGCTCTCCCAAGCACCCCTTAGAAGCTGATCCCCCCACAGCCGACTGGCCGCCCTTCACCCATGCCCTCTGCCGTCCCACCTGCCGCCTAGCCTGTGATGCCGCCCCAGATGCAGTCTCCAGGGCTGCCCAGTCCCCAGGGCAGCCAGCCCAGCCTGCACACTTGGTGCAGCTGCACAAGAAGCAGAGCTGCATCATTCCATCCAGAAATCCCGGGGGCCTGGACCCCCGTGGAGATCCTGCAGGGGGAGGGGGGGGCTCCAAGTCCGAGACCAGCTCTGTCAAGATGAAGATCAAGCTGGGCCCCAAGCAGAAGGCCCAGGACCGGCTCTAGGGCAAGCGCCGCAGGCCCAGCAGTGAGTCCCAGGCCAATCCTGTGGTGACGACGACCTTGAGGAAGAGCAGGAGGAGGACCACGCAGGAAGTGGCAGCGAGGAGGACTGGCCGGCATTCCACGTCTCTATCAAGAGCCGGGGGCGTAGCCCTTAGCAAAATGGGTAGCAGCAGACGTAGTTCAACCTGGGGAACTGCATAGACTCATCTCCGTATTTATGCGACAGAGCTGTAGGACTGTGTGTGTGTCTGGCCCGGCCCGGCAGTGGCGTGGGTCACAGCCTTAACTGTTTAGAGCAGGCCACGCGGCGCTGGTGGCGGCAGAGGTGCGGTGCCCTGCCCCTCCCGCAGCGTTGTCGCAGCACCAGGTGCATGTGCCGCGCGGGTGCATGCTTGTGGCCGCTCACCTCTCCTACTGTACCGTCTGGGCAGGCCGGACTCCTGGGTGCAGCCGGAGGGTAGTCAGTGTCACTGGATGTCAAGCGGTAAAAAACCAGCAACTGAGCGTGGAAAAAAAAAAAAAAGGTTTAAATGTCCCATCCTGAGAATGGTAAGACAGTAAGAGGGTCAGGCATAGGGTTTCCTTTCACCTCTGCACCCCAACTCCTGGAGAAATTTTTACTACGGGGATCTAAAAGCAGTGAGGACTGTGCCTACTTGCTATTTCACGTGCTGAACAGGCAGCCTATGCTCCAACACTGGACTCCTGTAAACAATGGCAACAGTCTTAGCAAAAAGTTCCTACCAGTTAACAGGGGGCTTGAAAGATCATAGCAGTTCTTCATTCCCAGTGGAGACCTTAGAAATTACCTAATTGGATGGCTGGAGAGTTGAGATAATTATGAAAAGTAACATTGTGGATCCTATAGTTAAGAGCTAGCCAACATTGGCTGTAAGTTTCAGTCAGAATTTAGAGGGGATCCATAGGTCTCCCTAGAACAGAGGCAGAGGCATATCACCAAGGAAGAACTGTGGCCCCCAGCTCAGCCAGAAGAACCGATCATTTGTTGCTGTGCACTGGTGAGCAAGCACCAGAGCAGGCCAGCTAACCAGAACTGAGACCAGAGCAGGTCAGAACGTCAGCAAGCCCATCTAAGACCAAATCTATCCATACTGGTATGGAAAGGATCCAGGAAGCCAAAAATTATTAAGGCTGAAAAGATGATGATATCAAGTTTGATCCCTCAAAGTTGTACATAAACTTGAGTTGCCTCTAAACTGCACCCTAAACAGTAGGGTAGATAACAGGCACTGAAGACAGGCCACTGGGTGGCGCACACAAAGGCCAGTCCTCAATACACTGGAAAAGTTTAAGAATCTATGTGACACTGGAAGCTGAGCTCACGTAATGCAGGTCAGAGCTTGTGGCCTAACTGTAGGGCAGTTGCCTCATGAAACAAATAAAAGTAAACAAATTGACATCCTCAGGATTTAAGTAATACTTAAAACTCTGATAATATAAGCAAAATTATTAGCCATAGGAAGAACTAGGAATATATCAGTTTCCAAGGAAAAAGGAAACCTAACTATGTCAATTCTTAACACAAATGTTAGAATTAATAAAAATATATTAAAGCAGGTTTTATAACCATGCTTATAAAATAAAAGTGAATAAATGCAAAGTCAGATATAAGGGAAGAAACAAAGAATATAAAGAAGGACCAAATGGAAATTGTAGATCTGAAAAATATAATAACAAATTATCGACTAGATGGGCTCGGTGGCAGAATGGGGATGACAGAAGAAATGATGATACAACCAACCCAAACAACACAGAGAATAAAAAAATTAAAAACAAAAAGGAACATATAGGATAAAACACTGAGAACAATTGGGCTTATTCCAGAGGGACAAGGTTGGCTCAATACTTTAAAATATATCAAAGTAATTCACAATATTAACAGTCTTAAAAGAAAAAAAATACCACATTGTTGTATCAGCTGAAAGGTATCTGACTGAAAACCAAATAAGAATGTCTACTACTCCTATTCAGTCTTGACTTGAAAGTCCTATACAGATTGGAAACTAAAAAATAAATTTCCCTAATTTGCAAGTAATGTGATTATCCATATAGGAAATAGCACTGAGTCTATTTTTTTTAAATCTCCTAATAATAATGGAGTTTAGCTTGGTGTTTGCAGAATACAAACTTGTCTTACTCAGTCCAGGCTGCTATAATAAAACAAAAACACCACAGACTGGATCCCTTAAATGACAGAATTTTATTCTTTACAGTTCTGAAGGTTGGAAAGTTCAAGATCAAGATGCCAGCTAGCCCAGTAGCTGATGAGGGCCCTCTTCCTGATTTGCAAAGAGATGCCTTCTTGCTATACCTGAGGTGGAGAGGGGTATACCTGTCTTGTGTATATTCTCATGAGTTCTGTGTTAGTTTACCATTGATGACAAAATGCCTGAGGGGAAAAAAAGTTTAAAGGAGAAAAAGTTATTTTGGTTCATCGTTTCAAGAGGTTTTATACCATAGTCATTTCTATTGCTTTTGGGCTTAGGGGGAGACAGAGTATCATGGCAGGGAGCATGAGGTAGAGCAGAGCTGTTCACTTAATGGCAGACAGGACGTGGAGAGAATGAGTGAGGAAGAGGCCAGGGGCCAGATACACCCTTCCAGAACATGTTCCCAGGGACCTTTTTCCTCCAAGTTGGCTCCTACACTTCCTACAGTTTCTACCACCTCCAAATAATCTATTTAACCACTAATTACTTTTTTTTTTTTTTTTTTTTTT